TTGGTTTGGTACTAGATATACTGGTATGGGCGATGATAGTTATACTCTTATAACTAAACGTCACTGTTAGCTAATATACACTGTTTTTTGGTTTGATTTAAATTTGTCTAAGTACACTAACAAGTATATACCTTCTTATAAAACAGATTTGGTCTGATGAGTTTTGTAAATAGTTTTTTAATCTTTTGGAGGTAAAAAGTGTATGTTATAAACTATATATTGTTGAAGTCAAAACTGGTAATGTAAATTAAAATTTCAAAAGAAAARATATAATTGGAAAAATAATCARAATTACATTTAATATTTTTAAATCGCTATTTTTTGGTAAAATTGAAAAATTATTTATAAAGGATAGGTAACAATACAAACATAATATACAATCATCATATTATTAGTGGARCATAAATTATTATAGGTAATTAATTTAGTTTAATAAATTAAATTCATTAAGTTTTCAACACAAAAGTTTTCGKTGGGAGAGGGGGTTAAAGGGTATGTAATAATAAAATAATAATAGTAAAAACAAACTCACAGTTTTGTGGAGCACAGTCTGGCCAGTTGGTCCTAAATAGTTATAATATTGTCGGTAACAACAGGCAAAAGAATAATATCAATAAGAATAATATATTAATTGGCCTTTATGGCTCATAAATAATAATATAAATGAAGCGCATTGCGCCTTCAGAACAAAAAAACAATAATAATAGTGTCCGCGATGATAAGCACACACGGTAACAAAATAACAATAGTAATCAGGGGTGTTCCCATAGGGTATACTCTCGAGATTTCTTTTCAATATTATGGGTATACTGCGTATGCTATCAATCATAATGGATATTATAGTGATTATACCATTATTATACCTTCAATATTTGTAAAGATTGACGAAATTTAGTAATATTACGGGAATGTCTAAAAAATTTGGTTAAACATTTTTTTCATATTATTGACACGCTCTTTACTGGCTTTACTTCTATAAACCATAAGAAAAATATTTTTATTGTATTAAATGTTTATATTTGATGATAATATTATAATAGTATACTCTCAAAAAAATTAAAGGGAACACCTCTGATAGTAATAATAATAAGTGACGATTTGCGCCCACGATATAGGAAATTGAACGTACAACTTTTTAGGTGGGTTCTSGAACACACTAGAAAATGTAATATGTTTGTAATTTATAACAACCCACTTATTGGTAGCGATTAGCGCCCACTGAAAATACAAAAATTGATGGCTATTTGAGCCACAAGGAATATATATTATATTTACAAGCGATTCACGCTTGTTAGCGTTATAATAATATTGATGACATTAATTGACTGTGCGCAACGCAGGGGCGTCATTTGGGGGGTGGTAGGGTGTGCGGTTGCACCCCTTACTTTTAGAATTTTACAATTGGTCTGCGCCTTGCTGAAGCCTAAAGTAATGCACGAGTCACGAATGCACAATTATTTATATGATTAAAATCAAATTGTAATAACCGGTCTATAATGTATGGAAATAATTGAATGCAGGATAATATACATATACGTATGTATATCTATTTTTATATGGCCTGGTGAAATTTCAACATGGCCTGCTTGAAACTTCGCACACCCGAAAAAAAACCTGAAATGACGCCCCTGGCGCAACGAACTGCGTGTAATACCGCGGCGGCTTATGCTGGCCGGTGCCCCGTTGCGGTCTAATCTATACATATAATATTATATAATAGCTAAAACAATAATAATATGATAATGATGTGTGATTGTGCTTGAGTGAAYCGGTCGGTGGAGGAGGGGTAAAGAATATTTAATTGCCAGATCGTAGTATTGCGAGCATGKCGGTGACGGCATCGCGAATGGTAATGTCTTAAGAGGAWACTTTATTGGACTAATATTATAATCTGATAATTATCGAAAATTATATCTYGGTAAATGGTCGGCATCCAGGTAAACGTTGCGTAATTAATTGGTTATCGGCATTTGGCGTTCTCGCACTCGCAGGCAMATGTCAGATTAAGTTATTTTAGGAAAAAGTATTCAGTTACTCTTCGTGTAAAAACATACTTCGGCTGTGACAAAATTGTGGGACTTAGGTTGGTGTGATTTTAATTCTGTAAAAATCCTAAAAAAATTTAAAACCTCCTCTAAAGAACGAATGAAGAACTTTTTTATAAATATTAATTTATTCAATACATATGATTGAACGAAAATGTTGTAAAAACTGTAATTTGTATGATATTATAATACTGTCAAAAGTTAAAACTTAAAAAAATTACTCCGACCGTTCTACAGAGGAGATGTTTAGAAATTTTATTATTTTTACAGCATTAAAATCGAACCATCCAAAGTCTCACAATTTTGTCATAGCGGGACTTCTAAAAACGATTTTTTTTTAATCGACTGGAACCACCTTAATAATACAAATAATTCTGTTATTTAATTTTTGATAAAATTATTATGTATATTGCCTTATAATAGATATATTTTAATTGATGAGATAGGTATATA